TAAATTAAGGACAATCGTATTTGTGACATTTATTTTAATAAATATTTCTGTCGTTCCAAAAAACCTAGACCAGCTCCTTTACAACGCCAACAGTCTCTATGTTTACACCTACACTGTAATTTCATGTAGTGGAGAACCTAACGGGTTACCGGGGCTCCAGCTCGACGTGCAGGAGAAGGAACGGGGTGGTTTTTAGTCAGTAAGAGTCTGACACTCCCTCCCGCCTCACCCAGGCAGGAGCAATCATTCCATGATTTTCCCCCCTTATAAGAAAAACACTGTGATTCCAGGTCTATTTTTAAACGGACAAGGTCTAAATATACCTCTAATTAATTGCACTTAGTAAAAAATGAATGCACCTTCCTTCCTAAATTTTTATAATGTGTAATTGTAGTTACATTTTAAACATCTTAATTATTAATGTTCTTAAACGTCAGATCAAATGATAAGATCCAATTTAAAAACAACTGAGTTTATTCCGTGCAGACAACAATAATGCAATGAGTACGGTCTTCATGTAGATAATAATATATTTTTAAATTAGTTTTTATTTCTCTCTGTCAGTCAATCAGTCTGTCTTATGAGATTTCCTTTTTAAATTGTATATGGTTTCTTGTACCCTAGAATTTCTACCATTTTTAGTTAAAATCAAAATGTGACAATTCTCTTTCAGAGTTATAAGTGTTGTTCAAAGGAGGCTTTGTTTTAATAAAAATTAAAAAACTAGTCGAGTTTACTAAATAAAATGTCCTGTTTTGCAATTTTCCCTAAATCCCTCTATATAAAAAACTTTTAACTGAACTCAAAACTGAAAACTTTAAACGCGAATTTCAAGCTTACTGAAGACACTTTTAGGAATACGTTAATGTTACTATGGAATACGATTCAATATCCTACTGATATTATAAATGCGAAAGTTTGTAAACTTGTATTAGTGTGTTTGTTAATCAATCACGTCAAAAGCTAAAGGGATCGGTATGAAATTAGGAACAGGGTCTGGAATAACACATAATATATGATACATTTTATTTCACAAGAATGCGGGCAAAACTGCGGGCAGAAGCTAATACAAGCTAATACTATTATAATTAATACTAGCGACCTGCCCCGGCTTCGCACGGGTGCAATATACAGTATTATACATGTAAACCTTCCTTAAACCTCTATTAAAAAAACACGTCATAATCCGTTGCGTAGTTTTAAAGATCTAAGCATATATAGGGTCAGACAGACGGCGACTTTGTTTTATACTATGCAGTGATAAACACGATCATCATCATCATCAACATCATATCAGTCACAAGACGTCAATGCTGAACATAGGTTCCCCTTTAGGGGAAGTCAAGTCAAGCCTTCAGTTTCGTCGGTTGAATTAAAAATAACCTGCAGCTGTAGCCAAATGCTATTTAGTGCTTGTCTACTTGTAGAGTAGAAAACCAAATTATGTGAGATTGACGTAAATTTTGACACTTGTCAGTGTTATCCCCATACATTTAGTTTTCTACTCTATCTGTAGACAAGCGCTAAAGTGTCGTTTGGCTAAAGGCACTGCAACTACTGCCTAAAATCTGGCCACTTCTAGTAGTTAGAAACCGTGTATGTTATATATGTCTTGGTTAAGATTTGTTAGTACCTTCAATATACCTAAAAAATGTCTAATAACTTTATTAAAGCAAATACTCACTGTGAGGATGGTAACCTTTTATTGTCATTTAGTTTTATTATTTCTCGGGTAAGTGCATTATTGTAACTCTTACAGGAATAAACACATCTCAAACCACGTAACATATAATTTGATAATAATATATTGTCAGAATCATAGCCAAAAAAAACGAAATGTCATCGTGTAGCGGGAAATTGTAATCTGTGGTTGGAAAAAAGGAAAAAAGTCAAGATGGCGGAAACTCTGAAGTTATTGAGACGGCGTATTTCTTGTTAAAGGAATTTTGATCTATGCATTTAAAAGTCAATTTGCTTATTTATGTGTTGTTGTTTTTTATTTCCAATTATAGTTAGTCCTGATTTTGTAATTTTATGTCGATGTCAACAATATAAGTGCATTGTAATGATGGTACTATTTAGTTTCCCTGCCTTCTGAGCTTCTAAAATGTAATGTGGTTTAAAACCAATAAGTTTCTAATATCAAAGAGTAAGGTAAACCCTATGCGATTTTTTAAGTTTTCTAATAATATACAAGGTGTTGTTTTAAAGCCGCGTCATTTTCTAGGAGGTAACTCGGCTATCGATTGTGAGTCTGAATCAATAAAAAAAATTGTAGGTAAATATTTTTCATTTTTCTGTAAATTACGGAAATCTATTAGTGCGAACTACACGCCGCGCTTTTGTAACTAGTTTTATAACGCGTCTTAACACACACAAACTCAAACACGTAATTGATATTATTCCTAATTTCATAAAACTCCAATAAGAAACATTGCTGTCGCTTATTCTGAAATACTGTCAAACTTAAACAATTTATTACCTATAGCCGTATTTTTAAATATTGGCCCAAAACTTTTTCTTACAATGAACCTTTATGACTTCTGTGACATGCCCCCGAAAAATGCCACGGTTTCAAAACTATACCTTGTATATACCTAAGTTCAATGATCTTACTGGTCCTTCAGTACAAATTATAAGACACGATACTTTGTCATTCAAGTTTGATAGTTAATGCATATAATAGACGTTTTCGCTGCCAACAATAACATAGTTCAAAATGTTATTCAGTTTCTTGAATTTTAACGTCTCAGTATGAGTCAGGATGGCCTTGCAAGTCTTGTTACATGACGCTAACAACATAATTATACTTCTGATTACCCCCTTCCAGAAAAAAACAGTCGTGAGGTTGTTGTTATGTCTCCGAGGACCATTCCCAAAATTTAATTACGCGTAAGTTTTTGTTCAGCAGTAAAAAAGAAATGAATGTTTTTTTTTTTATTTTTTGTGATTACAATCTTGTCAATCAAGAATGCATTACAGTTTTACAAAAACTCATTGACGTTTGTACGGACGCTATCAACGTACTCGTGTGGATATCTTTATTAGATTTACGACTTTACTGTTTTCATATAAAATCGAAATTGTAATGAAATAAATGGCAAATTGGAGTAACTTGACCTGGTGACGTTTGGACATGGAATACTTAATGGTCGTTTTAATTTCCCGAAGCATTTGTAACCCTCTTTTGTTTTTTTCAATTTATAAATTATTATTATTGACTCAACAAAATATAAATATTTTTAGAGTTCTCTAGTCGTAAAGTTAGTAGAGCAGCATTATTACATTATTATATTTAATTCTACTGCCTCATTGGCCGAGTGGTCGCAAGTGCTGAGACTGCCGGGTAAGGGATTTCGAGTTCGATTCCTGGGTCGGGAAAATTTTACCTACAGGGTTTTTAAAAAAAAATCTCAGTTGTAGCACGAAGTCTGCAATTGTGTCCGGTATATAGCAATAGGCTCACCCCCTATTACATGGGACTTATAACATTTAATAGTGAAAAGTGGATGTTACATTATACAGTGGTACTAAGTGCCGCAATGTGCACCTCTGCCTACGCCCTTCGGGGATAAAAAGGCATGATGTGAAGTTAAGCTATATTTAATTCTAATTATTTTTTTTTGGTCCTAGGGTACAAGGTGTTTAGTAGCACTATAAACAATGATTAATTAATCTGATTTGTAGAATTAAATATCTATGAAACGTTTATTTTAACAGCCACCAAATTTATTATTATAAATTCGACTACTTAACGCATCCTATAATTAAAAAAATATTACCATGCAATAAACTTCCTATTTATAAATTAACATGTTGATGGAAGAACCAACTTAAATTTTTGGCACAAGGATGCGTATTTTTGCAAATAAAGCCAAAAGTAATAATTAACTTGGTTCAGAAAATAAAACAACCCTTTTACCGTTGTCCATATAAGCCAGATATAATACACACGTTTTTCGTAAATTATGGTTACTATTATTATCAGGTAATTAGAGTATTTATACTAGCCAGGCTCAAATATTGAGATCTGTTTTAATACTTTTAAGAGATCGGGGTATTATAAAATAAACAAAATATTTCACCACTACAATTTGAGATGCAGAACCATAACGCTATTTAAGTTTTTGCTCTATATTCTCCAAAAACAATTACAAAATATATATAAATGTATCACACTAATTTTAAACAACCAATTAGTGTCTTATTACGATGGGTTTTTTCAAAGACGGACGCTAAATTAAAATTATGAAACCAAATATAAAACAATTCATTTTTTTCTGTATAGACGTCAATTGATAAAATTGTACAGAGCTGATTCAAGGATAAGCTCAAAATTGTGGTATATAAAGACAGTGCTAATGAAATAATGTATTATTCATCCTATTACAGTATCACGGTAAGTAACTCTGTACAATTTAATTAAATAATTTAATTTAAAACATTTATTTCATAATATATCGTGATAGTTTGAAGTATCGTGGTAGCTCGGAGGTCCGGAAGAGCGTTCGAAACCTTCCAACCTATATGTAATTTCTAAGATTATTTAGACATCACTGACAAACGGTGAACGAAATCATCGTGGCGAAACCTGGATTTTATAATTTCTAATTATAAATTTTAAATCGTCAACCAGCATTGAGCAAGCGTGGATCAATGCTCAAACCTTTTACGGGCGCGAAAGAGGCCTTTGGTCAGCAGTGGACACTTATAGGCTGATCACGTGATGTGATGATGAATTTCATAATACAAAAGGGTTAAATAAGTTTAGTGTTTGTGAAATTTAGTGTGGTCCTTTGATTCGGTAAATTCCCAAAGTGCCGTCTACTAACTAGTAAACTAAAAGTTTAGAATACTAGAATGGCTTGTAGTGTTATTTTAGTAACCACATAGTTACCACGAAAAAGTATTAAATAATTATGGTCATTTTACTGTGGGCTTAAAAATGTCACCTTAATATTGTTCTACACGAGCATACTAATAAAAATATTTTTTCATCTTCTCAGCATCATCATGAAACTAGTAATCATCTTGGCGTTGGTAGCAGTAGTCCTGGCCCGCCCTGATGACGGTGGCTTCTACGACACGAAGTACGATAACTTCAACGCTGATGAGCTCATTGAAAATGAACGTTTGTTGAAATCGTACGCGCACTGTTTCCTCGGTGATGGCAAGTGCACTCCAGAAGGAAACGATTTCAAGAGTAAGTACAGTGTTGCATTTATTTACTTGGATTTTATTATCGTAGTTATTGTACTTCCCTCTACTTTAATTTAAAGTCAACTTTTTTTATGTTTCCCTATAAAACTTTATAGTTGTCTTTTTTTTCTTTGAATTATTTCCGATGTCACTCATTTTCAAAGTAAACTAGGCTAATTAGATCTTCGCTAAGTGTAACTTTCTTCTTATTAAAATCTGTTGGGATTTTGAAGTGACAGTCTCAAACTGTACCCTAAAGACCTAAACTAAAATCATTTATTTTAATTAAAACTTTAAACCACTTTCAAGTTAAGGGTAAAAGAACTTGGTTCTTTTTTGAGTGTCAAAAAATTATGGTTGGTTTAATTCAGTTATTTCCTTGGGAACAAATTTTTATTGGACTGCTAACCACGAAACAATTATTGAACCAAATAGGGCTGATGCCGCGGAGAACGTAACAGATTACTGGGGCTCCAGCTTGAAGTGCGAAATAGGAACGGGGTGGTTTTTAGTCAGTAAGAGTCTATAACTCCTCTCGCCTCACCCAGGTGAGAGAAGTCATTCAATGATTTTCCCCCTTTTAAAAGAAACTACTAAATAGTTACTTCACACTTAATACCCCTGATATGGAAATATTATTTCACTTTCAAAATTTACGATCATGGTAAGTAAGGAATGGAAATTGAATACCTATAGTTTCCCATAACAAAACTCGTTATGGAAGAGAATAACATTTACCCAATACATAGTCTTATCAAGCAAAACATATGCATCTTATCGAGCGATACTGTTATGTGTGGTTCACATAAAAGTTTTTGTTAAAACGTACGCTCGTTTCCAAACTGGGTAGCGGCTTCAGTCCAAACAAAGTTGGAACACGCTCCTATTAGCATTAAGTTAATATAGTTGGAAACCTACCAGAAGTTCTGGAGTACTTTTTTATGTTCAATGTATTACAAAGTTTTTTTACATACTTATATACAAGTGAACGCCAAACTCAGATAAGAATTGGCCTACTTGTACCGTTTTTTCATTAGATTACTTTAAAAAAAATAACGGCTAAATAGAAGATTGTAATTTTGACATTCCTAAAAATATTTATGCGGAATTATAAGTACATTCAGCCCCATTATAAATAGTCGCGTCGTTTATTCGTTTTCTATTTATTAAATTTACAAGAAAAATCAATCACACACTCCTTACGTTATTGTTTTTTATCAGCGTTATTCGTGTACATCTCAAGTATTTTATTTACGTAAATCTCGATCCCAATAGTTATTTATAAATAAGTACTTTTTTATTGCTTGATATTATAACTTTTTCGTCTGTGAACGTAAGTAAAAAGTTGTACGTATCTTTAATAATATCATGCAACTTGATCTGCGTCACATAAAAACTAACAGATTATAATCTATGTTATTGTTCTTAAATAGCGTTAAATCTCCTTATAAAAAAGGTAGGTACCTAATTACGGCGTATCTAGAAAACGAACTAACATTTATACTTTTCGAGAGGTTTGTTTTTTATAAGAATGCTTAAGTATATCTTATTGTTTGTTTCTCTCGATTGTTTTAACGAACTATCAAACAATCCTTGAAGTCAACGTCTGCTTTAGATCGTCTACGTCTGTGATTATTTTTATTTCTTTGCACTATCGAGATTAAAAAAAACTTCTTTTAGTCCATATTGAATTGGATTTAAGACTCACACTTTATTGTTCAATTACGAACATGGAGCTAAAACATAGTAATAAAGATGAATGAAAATTCAATCTAACACTCTAACAATAGAACTCAAACTCATAAAAATCTACTAAATCCCAAATCTACAATGTGTTTGGAACCGAAGTGTAACAAATGTAGCATCTTCTTCAAATTCTAAGAATTTGTTGATTGGCCAGCCTCCGGGAATATTATCAAGGAAGAAATTTCATTACTTATTCACAAAATGAATATTTATAGTACAGATGTTGCTAATCAGGGAAAACCCAAAGGAAATCATCATGCAATCCGCAGATTTCATTATTTCGGGTTTTGGGAGAATTAGCATAATCGCTTATGACATTTCCTAGATATGATTGATTAATGATGAAACAAATTGAAATAGGTTTAAGCGTAAATCAATGTTATACTATTTAGAAATAAAGAAAGTAAGGTATAAAACAAAGTCGCTATCTGCGGTCTGTCTGTCCCTATATATGCTCAGATCTTTAAAACTACGCAACGGATTTTGATGCGGTTTTTTTAATAGATATTGTGTTTCTTAAGGATGGTTTATGTGTATAATACATGAATATTGAACCCGTGCGAAGCCGGAACGGGTCGCTAGTATTTAATATAAGTATGTTTATAATAATTGTAATGTCTAGAGACTCGTTGACCCCACAGTCAAACCATTGCAACGGTTTTGTGGGGCTTACATTATAAGGTTAGAGAGACTTACCTTTGTGATATAAATAAATAAAAAATAACATATTGTCGCTTAATAACTACAACAACATGTTTTGGACTTACAAATAATGAGGATTTGTTTACTTTTACTGCGGTCATTTAGACTGTTTTGTTTTATAAAAAAATAGATTTAAAATCAATTAATAACTTATCTTCGCCTTTTCGTTTTAAAATAATGGTAAAATCAATAAAAATCACTTCCGAGAAAATGCCATAGAAATCAAACAATTTCTAATAAAACTATAATTTTTCACAGAATGGATCCCTGAAGCCACAACGACATCTTGTGGGAAGTGTACGGAGAAACAGAAGGCTCTCATTGCGAAAACTATCAAGGCGATCAAGGACAAACTTCCATCAGAATATGAAGCTCTAATTAAGAAGCATGACCCTGAAAATAAACACCATGACGACCTCGACAAGTTCCTACAGAAATACTCTCATTAGATTCTTCAAATTAGCACAAGATAAAATCAAACTCATAACTATTTGGTGAAACTAGACATGGTCTAAATTAAAATGCCATATAAAGTTGGAAATAAAAAAATTATTTCTACTTTGCTCTGTAATCTCGTATTTAGGAATAACGAAATGTGCAGCATTTGAAATAATAAACTTGGAGAATTAAATTTTTGTTACTTCTAAAGTCTTGTTTTTATTTTACTTCACAAATACGTACACACGGCCACACATCAATCTATACAAAACCAGTTTATCCTGGTGTCGCGTCGCATCATCTTTCCGCACATTTAGCGTTCAGTTTATACTGGTTATGTAAAGCTCGATGTGTAGCCGTGTATACATATTTGTATTTAGTTTGTTTGGCGTTCCTTTTCAAAATAAGCATCTCTTGCTTCCTTTTGTGTTATTTTTCTTTGATAACTATTAAAATTTTCTTGCTTTATTTAAACTAACCGCTTATTTTTTTCATTTTTGAGATAAAACATAACACAATATCTCGCCTTTTATCCTCGGAGGAGTAGGCAGAGGTGCACATTACGGCACTTAAGGCTACTGTACAATGTAAAATCCAATTAAAACTATTTATCTGATGAGGTTCGATTCCCGGGTCGGGCAAAATACTACTGGATTTAAAAAAAAATGTCAGTAGCACCACGGAGTCTGGAATTGTGCTCCGTATATGGCAATAGGCTCAACCCCTATTACAAGGGACTCATAACATAAATAGTGAAAAATGGGTGTTACATTGTACAGCGGCATAATGTGCACCCCTGCCTGCCTTCGAGGATAAAAGGCGTGATGTTATGTTATAAATAATAAAAGTACGTCATCTATCGACTTTCTAGAATATAATAAACATGTCATGATCGTTTACGTATTTTATTTATTCAAAGCCAATAAAAAAATCAATTGATTCTATTAGACCTCTAGAAATTGCAAAACTAATGGAAATTCCCGAATCTAATATAATATTTATTGGCTAGTTTCAAGTACATACTCGAAATAATCCCAACAAGTCAGAAATTTATATACTGTAAGATAGACGCCAGTTGTGGGAATCAGCAATCAATATAATTTATTTATTTATTTAGTTAGACAACCTGGGAGTTAGTCCATATAACATTTCAAAATGAGAGAAGTGCTCATGTGTTTTAATGATCACTTTTTTTAACCAAGATTTCAAAGCATAAAATGATATGTGTGAAAAGTAAATAAACAATAGACGATATACGCAAAAGTCAATTCCTCCAGTGGTATATTTTTCCTATGAAAATAATACTTTCCTATAAACATTCTGAGGCCCAATCAAAACTGGTCCTTTGGTACGTAAACATTACTTTTCGAATATACGTTTCGCTTACACAGTACTTTGTGTACACTTTTTCATCATTCTGAAAATATTGAGCCGTTTATTTGAGGTTCGGGTTTCCCATTCCAATCAGGAATACCCAAAGGAGTTTGGTTTCGAGTCAGCAGTGGTGGTCACGTGCGAGGTCAGTATACCATCTGTCACTGGTCCTAAAGTGGTCCTTCGTGATTAATATTAAATTAAACGTCTTCGCACTCCGTCACGAAGGACAAAGTTTAGGGTTCTGTTTGATATTCACGAGACTATTTGGATAGAAACGTGTGATATTCCCTAGTTTAGGTATAGACCGTTAGGGAAACTAGAAATGCTACGTGTCTGAGCAAAGAACGTCGTTTGATTAGTTGCGCGTTATGCTCCGATGAACTAGTGATCGCAATATGAACACTGAACACTGAGCACGATGTTTTCATTTTATGATATATTAACGAACCGCCTAGGCTTCACACGGGTGCAATGCTTATGTAAAAATAATTACTGTATTACACACATATTATACATGGTACATATGAACATTCCTTAAGAATCACTCTATGTATTAAAAAAATCGCATAAAAATCTGTTGCGTAGTTTCAAAGATCTAAGCATACATAGGGACAGACAGACGACAGGCGGATAGTAAATTTGTTTTATACGATGTAGTGATTTACAAAATATTACTAATTTTGATTTGATAAATGAAAGAATTGATTTAAGATTTCATCGTTTTCTTAAGCACTCTGATACCTAACAATCCACACATTTTTGGGCTCTATGGCAAACCAAATCCATCTATAGTTATACGATCACAAACAACAATATATACTTAATTATAACTAAGTTACAAATAATAAACTTCTTCAACGAATATATCACCAATATTATATCCTCAAGTGAAATAGTCAACACCTTGTAATATTCCGAGATTCCATCTATGGCTCTTGTCACCTCACTTGACATGAATTGATCCCCATGGTTACCTGTATCATCTTTGACATCGAAATTGACACTTATTCAGCAATAAGCAATCACTTTTTGTTTTTACGCCAGCATTTATTAATAGAGTGCTTTGTTCCTTCACGAAACGACCAGAACTTTTGTTCATTGGGATCAATAAACTTGATTTTTATTATATGACTGTGTTACATGTTTGGATCTTTTAATTTGCGGCATTAATAGGATTTTCATTTGTAAGTGGAGTACAAGACCACGATACAAAAAGCCAAGAAATCCACAAGAACCTCGTTTGTGAGCTATGAAAACCTTTTGTTTTCAAACAATATCTAATTTGAAATAAGATCTCAAAATTTCACAAAGAAACGTCTAGAAATAGTGGCAAGCGTCAACTTCAGTTTATTTTAAAAGCAAGACTACTATTATAAAATATTCAATTTAGTTTTATCGAAAACGCAACCTTAAGCAGTTTCAACAATGCTCAATTTTTGTTAGCTTATCAACTTCACACAATTCTAAACATAAAATTGAAAATTACTGTCATGACGTTAGTATTCAAATAAAGTTAATTTTATTATGCATTTTTGTTTAAAGCCGTGGGATAATTACATATTGTGTATAAATAAAAAAATATTTAATCATTCCAGATTGTACTAAAATAACTAATATTTATTTTTCGATTATTTATGCAATATTTTTAATATCCATCTTTATCATTACAAACGTTGGTTGACGTATTGTTCTTAAAAAAATACTGGCTACAATTCGAAAACCAAAATTATGTTTCATTTTTCGTTCGATTGGCCTTGACTTCGTTCGAATTTCAAAAATAAAATTATGTTTACTTTACGGAAATTCTCTTGCAGTATCTTTTTACGGTAAAAACAAAAAACATGAATGATTTATTACTATTTCTTGTCTTATCATCTTCATTGTCCTGATATTTTTCTTTTTTCCGTTTCGCTTCCTGCCTTCCTGTGTAGCCAGAGGAAAATGCGTGAAGGTCTCATAAAACACACCATTATCATAACAGCCAGTACAATTTGACAAATTATATGGCAACATTAAGAATTTACTTTTTAAGCCATGAAGAAAGGAGGTCGCAAATGTTTGAAATTAAATTCTTATGACCTTTCATTGTATAAGTCAGAGAATACTTGCTGTAAAATCTTTATAGGTAAATTCTGTTAGATTTTATGAAGGTTTATATTTACATACAATTTCAATAACATCAAAAATATTACTCCTTTTTGGCAGACTATATAAATCATTCCTCCAACGAAGAATTAAAACAAAGTATATTTAAAATTGTTTTAATTACTGAACTACGTAAATACAGTCATCATAATTACGTAGTAGTTTGGGCTGAACGCAGTGCTGTCAAAGATAAGCGCAGCTGCCACGTACTGAACCGTTGACACGTTATCTGTCATCTCAAATACGTACCACTGAATATGAACATTTATATACACAAACAATATGAAAGCTACCGTCCAATAACTGGGATGTTGGTCGAATCATTAATATAATAATTAATAAGCCAGGCAGAGGTGATGTTTAGTTTTCAAGAGGTAATCGCCATTAACAGACCTTTGGTAACATTTCAGATTTTGTGCCACTGATAATTATAATAAAAAAACCTTATATACTAGTCAATTCGGTAATCATGGCCCAATAACCGGACACCTTAAGTTCACCATAAAAAAAAGTGTCTAGAACCATAAGTTGTTTTGAAGTTAAGACCCAAGGTTGTTAACAAAGATATTATAAAATAAATTATCCATTGCAATGAATCTTAAACAATAAGAAGTGGTATCTACTAAGAACAAACATATGTAATGTGCCATAATGAGAGCATCATTGGCCAAGTGGTCGCAAGTGCGACTGCCAGGCAAGGGGTCTCGGGTACAATTCCCAGATCGGGTAAGCAACTGAGATTAAAAAAAAAACACTTTTTCTGTACACGGAGTCTGGAATGTGCCCGGTATATGGCAATAGGCTCACCCCTATTACATGGGACTCATAAGTCGTAACATAAATAGTGAGAATGAGAATGTATAGCTCTGCCCACCCCTAAGGGCCTAAAAGGCGTGATGTTATGTAACGAACATAATCTTCAAAACGTCCACATTTGACGGACAATGGGGTGCCAAAGTGCCACATTTCCGTACATAGAGGACATGACCCCGGTCCTAGTGGTCGGAAATCGTTGACGGTGGAAAATACAACCATATATAAATACAAGGATATAATATATGACAGTAATACATCATATAGAGAAGTTGGTCCTTTTTGGTCCTTCCGTACAAAAAAGATTGATAGCAGTGATATTTTTTCTTTTGATTTCACAAGTGCTATTATGTGTGTGTTTGGTGTTTATGTTAGTATCAGGATCTCTTGGTGATAATAATTTTAGCCGTAAATCGTAAAATATGTTAAAATAAATACAATATAGTTAAATTAAATACTTTTTTTGGGGGGGATCATTAATTACTTCTCCCGCCTTGGGTTGGCGAGAGGGAGTGGTGTCAGACTCTTACTGACTAAAAACCACCCTGTTCCTACTCCTTCACTTCGAGCCGGAGCCCCGGCAACCCGTTAGGTCTTTGGCGGCTCCGTATCGGGCATACGGATACGGATACGGATTTTAAGAATACAAAGAGTAGCTTAAGAATTACATTTGATTAACTAACTTCGTAGTCAAAATACAATCTATAAGATATAATGACGTAATCATAAAGAGATTTTGAAAAAATACAAGTACTAATAATAATAGTAGAAATACTAACAAAAAAGAATCAATCTGAAATTCCGTAACAGTATTATTTAATTGCTTTTCGAAATGTTCGAATGCTGTTTCAAATTAAATGCGATATCTGTTAATT